TTATTCTAAACAGAATATAAAATACTTATTCAAAATTGTATTTTCCAGAGGTAAATGGATGATTTCGCCTACACTCCCCACTCTAGGTACATAATATTTTCATAACGTCCATGACTCCCACTTATCACTTGAAAATTCATCTCACAGACACTTGTTCCCGATAGTTTTCGATACCGTAAAAGTTTAACATAATGCGAATAATGTTGTAGTTTACTCATCCTGCTTCAATCCATCTTGAGGGATGAATTGTTCTGATAGAATGGCTTTCTAATAATTTAAGTAAACTGCACATCACACACACAACAGACACACACAAGATCAAACGCAAAAAAACAACTGCCATAAGTTGTGTAAGAGTACAAACAAAATAACTTATCAAAAGCAGGACGATGTGCAAAAACATATTCAGCATCCTCGCACGGGTCGCGGTAACTCCGCGCCTCTTGCCCAAGCGCAGGCGCGGGCGCACCGGTCACGTGCGTCGATACTGACACAGCTTTAATACACGGTGGGTTTGAAACTGCATTGTTTTTGAAAGAAACATATGTAAGGTTTGAAATATTAAAAAATTTGAATATTAAAAATACTGCTATAATACTGCTTTAAGTAAATTTACTTGATTGAAAAAACAAAGAATAACGAGCCGCTGAATTTTTGCTGTTAAATTTAATTTTAAGGAAATCCTGTAAAATATAGCATTGATACTTCAGATTTTAAAAGTGGGAAGACTTGCAGGACTGATCTCTTATTTAGAAGAACCTCTACACAAGAATTTCAAAACATTTGATGAAGCGAATGAAGAATTACTTCAAATTGAAATCTTGACATCAATCTAGAGATTCAAAGTATTTAAGAATAAACTACAAAACTGATAATTAAGTAATAGAACTGATATTATCTGAACAAACACGACGTCTTTAACACACAAGCAATTAATTACTCGATAAATAAAACAAACTTCGCGCATTTTTCCCACATGCCTATTTTTTGAACAAATTGTGCCAAACCCGTTTTGCGACAGTAAGCAAGCCTACAGCGTTTAATGTGAACAGCTCACCACAGAAGTTACGTTTCAAAGTCCACCTTCAGTCAATGAGATAAGAGTTCAAAACACCACTTATTAATGACGCTGACTGCACATTCAAACATGCAGCAGGCGACATCCCGGCCTTTTATCTTCGCTATTAATTATAATATCATATTGGATCTGCAAACTCGCCTTAATTACTATAGAGACGTTCATTCTTGTCGATAAACTTCTTGACGAAAAGCCGAAACGGAATTACAGACACCAATAAAAAATATTTTATTGGTGTCATTTATCTGTATCATTTTTAATCTAGTCAAAATCTACTAATTTACTCATCATTGCATGGAATGAATGGACCTTTAACAATAGACATCAGGGATAGGGATTGATTACCTGGAGGGACCAGAAAAATGAAAATGCACGCCTAAAAAATCGGAAACATTAGGAACATTATCATTAAAGTACAGCCTATCGACTATCGACATTTATCCACTGCCCATCCCTAGCTTTAAAGACGAGCAATTCCACTGACGTTTGTATAAATTTAATTGTCAATTGAATTAATGTGTTGGCGGTTTATCTTGGGCCCCTTAATTATAGGAATTTGTTATGAACAGCGACCGAGATTTCGTCCTGGCTTAATTGCGATTGAAACTTATTTACGCGTCTATTCGCCAATAGCGTCTTAACCTTTGATTGCAGATAAGACAGTTAAGAAAAATTGAGCTGCCCGGCTCATTAATGCTTGTATTTTAAAACTTATTTACTTTCGTCTGATTTTCAACGGAATAAGATTTTTTATATCAAAAGGATGAAATGATAAAAAAATAAGTACAATAAGAAGCTTTAATACTTTAGTAAAATTTATAATCGGTGACGGTACAGGAAATAAAAGAAAATCTTAAGTTTTTTCCATATCAACTGATGTAATAAAAACTTAAACCAAGGTTTTTAGTAACATACTCGTACCTACTCCCACATCCACACTTATTATGGCAAACAAAAAAATTCAAATGTGTATTAATTACACTCAATTTTAACATTCTTTGTTAATCGGACCCATAAAAATTCTTGCACAGAATTATATCACAGGCAAAAACAATGCCTAAATCTAACCAGTACCCGAAGCACGAACAAATAGTTCTCATTTTGTTATGGTTATCGTTTTATTTGTACGAAAAACAAAACAGCGCCGCTACGGTTGTTAAGAAATTAGGACTACGAGAGACATTCGTGCTTAGAGCACAGTTCTCGAATTCAGCCCACGCACTATGACCGCACTAGCATTGTTTCAGATGCCTTGGGTATGACGCGTTGCGCGCGCGCACTTGTCATTCAACCCGCAACGCTTGCAACGAATTTGGCAATACGTAACAGTGTTGCTACGGTATCACAACATCATCAAACACCTAAAAGGCCACTAGGCACTTGACTTGGCACTTAAAAATTTATCGGCGTGTTGGATATCGTGCTCGTCATATCGATATGGGTTCACTTTTGACATTGGCAGCTCTAAAGTTTGATGATACGCTGGGTATTTAAATTACATAGTGTAAAACATACCATAGTGTGCACTGGTTAAAACAAAAACGGTTAGTGTCGTTTAGCTTCTATGCAATAAAATAATACAAGTAATTTCCAGGGTAACATTATTATGCACGTATGTGTTACGTTTATTTTTCACTGTAAACCCCGGTCACATATTGCCGTGTGTCTCACACAAAAATCGCACATACGAGGCGCCCCGTGCATGCTACGTAGCAATGTACACATGCACACATTCACATGCACACTGCATGTTATCATGTTACTGTGCAAAAAAACAATTCAGCTAAAGCCGAAAATCGCGTATCAACTTCTGTCAATACTGCTCAATGAAAGTCTTGAGATTCTGAAAATAGTATGGATTTTATTTGCAAAACAGCTGTAGCAACAAACACAAAGCACAAATCACTAAAACAATGGATTTACGTAAACTAATCGCCGAATTCCAAGGTCGGAAGAAAATAAAACCATAGCCCACAGCCGAGAAAGGACAGTTTACTAAGTGCTACCATCTTATGGCCATAGTGTGGCCAGTCCTGAGAAAAAGCAGTACAAGAAACTGTCACTATTTTCAGCCCCTATATCAAAGGTTTACAAAAGTATCAATCACTACTTTACTTACAATTATGACAATCCAAATATTTTTGTCTTTTATATTGGTCTACTTCATAATAGTTCTTTTCGTTAAAGTATTTTAACGTGTGATTTGAATTTATGAATTAATTTTGAGAAGTCTAGATAGACTGACGCAGATAATATGTATGTAGAATTATAGAACATCGTCGTTTTGACATATTTTTCAAACAAGATGCGTCATCAATTGCGTCAATTGTTTCCAGACATGTTTCAAGTACATGCACCTGATCTCCATTGGTCTTGACTTCGTTACAGTTAAGTTTAAGCTGATGATTTGGTTGTTTACTATTTGTTAATATTGGTACGGGACTATCCCACCTCGTGTTCCACCGCTGCAACTCCTGTGCAGCCAGGATCTACAGCTTGACCGCCAATAAAAACCCAACCAAGTTAATATTGGTAGAGATTAAAATTTAAACCGTCGCTTTTACCTATGTAATTGTAACATTCGTTTTGGAACTAAAACATTAAGATTTTATTCATCGATTTCTCTACCCTCATAGCCAAAGTAACAGACGTGACAGAACTACGAAGTCACTTCACATTTTTTTTGTGCAGAGGTTTTTCTACTCCACTATACGCTAAATTCTGTGGAGGAACACTATCTGTGGTCGTGATCCTCATCAGTGAGGGACCGAGGAAGAAGAAGAATAAATGTTTTTAAGTTACTTTTGTGAACGCTACAATGGCAATGTAACCTTGTTGATCAAATAAATACGCTAAAGTTGCAAAATGTAATCTGTCACAAATGGTCCTTTGTCTAACTAAAGGGTCTGATCAGTCTATTTTAGCTAGGTACGTTCCGTCTTCGCATCTACCAGACCAGAACCGCGCGGTCAGGTCGCCGGAAGTGACGCTATCGTTTCGCTATCGGCGCTATCCGCTCGAGTTGGCGCTACTAGATCGTGTAAACACCGCTTTAGGTCAATTTGTAGTTCTGATAGTGAAAACTTCAAGTGCTGGCCGTAATTGGACGTTACATGTAAACTAATTGCGTGTAAACTAACAGGCAAAAATATTAAGGTTTAAACATATATATAATTGGTATAAATGTAATTAAAAGAACAAGAGAGTCCATTAAAACTGAAAACTATGATGTTGCTAATAATACAACTATTTACTAAAATAATCCACTGAAACATATTTCTGCAATAGGTACACATCTCGCTTCATTAACAACAAATACATTCAATGAGATAACTAGATCGTTTTACTTATTAAAGCGCCTACATTCCAATTATAATTGCCATTTAGTTATCCCTTAAATGTACCGTTTGAACATAAAACAATCGCGATGAAGTAGATAATAGCAATTAACATAAATGACCAGGCTACTGGAATGCAAGCAACTATAATAATGAAGACATAAAGCTATTTAATTATGGACTAATTGAATTTCATGCAATCGTTTATGTTAACGCGCAATTATCACTTTGTCTGAACAGACGGACCTATATTATTATCAAACAATAAAATGGCGAACACTGACTACGAATTACAGTTTACCGCAATGAACATGATTGTATGCAATTAATTACGGCATAGATTTACAGTCTGCCGTTTGTTTTTAAGCGAAACAAGCTCGCGATATTAGTTACAGGGTTTAGTAACCGCACTTTCATAATTAAGCTCAGAATCAAACAATCAAACGCTTTAGGAACAATATTGCAAAACTACACAATCTACCTTTGTTTTGTTTAGGGCATTTCATTAAATTGTGGTTTGATTTAGTCATGTATCAATTAATTATTTGTCAAATGGTATTAACATGTATTTTTCTTCTTTCCAGTCGTTCTTCGGGCGCTCATACAACAACCTGAACTCGATAACGGAATGCAAGAACAACGGCGAGTGCGTCATCAACAAGAAGAACCGCACCGCGTGCAAGGCCTGCCGCCTGCGCAAGTGCCTCATGGTGGGCATGTCCAAGTCCGGCAGCAGGTACGGCCGCCGCTCCAACTGGTTCAAGATCCACTGCCTTCTCCAAGAGCAGCAGCAAGCCGCCCAGTCGCGGTCACCTCCAAGAGTGCCCCCATCTCCTCACTCGCTAGCGCCACCCTTCCCTCCACATCTCTTTCCTGGACTAGCCAGACCACGCACGAAAGAAGAACTCGCACTACTAGGCCTCGATGACTACAAGCCCCCCTGCTCTGGCTCCCCAGACTCACACCGAAGCGGCTCCTCCCCCAAACTAGACGAGAAGAGCAAACTCACCCAATCCAGACCGCCTGACAGACCCCTCACGCCGCCGAGGGACACGTACGTCCCGCTCCCCTTAGCCAACATCAGCTTGCCCCACTTCCCACACTCGCCGTTCTTACCGCCCCCGCCCTTCAGCCCGTTCGCCACGAACCATCCGTTGCTGTTCCCCCCCGGCTTCCACCCGATATACTCTCGGCATCTGCTCGACCACGCGGCGTTAAGACAAGCCGCGGAAAACAACAACGACGTCAGAATCGACGACCATAATGCCGACTCGTCGAAGCGATTCTTCTTAGATGAAATTCTGAAGCAGCAGAGGTCCTCGCAACCACCGACGCCGCAGGAGGACGTGATATCTGAAGCGGAGTTTGTGCCCACGCCTCCCGCTGAGAGGAGAACCTCAGAATCGCCCTTACAAGAGAATCCGATGGACTTGTCGGTGAAATCTGACGGTAGATCCAGTTCGGCCAGACGGAGATCCGATGACAGTGAGATCATCACTCCAGATAACGACGATGCCGAGTCGGGCAGCGCGGCGGGCTCCGCCAGCGAGGAAGAAGACGTCTCTTATTCCCAAATTAAGCGAATCAAACTCCACCCGTTGGACCTCACTACCAAAGTCTGACGTCACACCAGACGCCCCCTAGTGCCGTTATTATAAACAATGTACTTTAAACAAAATGAACAGTGAATTTATTAAGGCCAGTAAATCGGATTGTGATTTTAAAAATAAGTAGGACGATCGAAAGGATTATCCCGAAATTGTTTAGTGAATTGTTATCGCTTGAAAGAGTCTATCCAAATACGTAACTTAAGTAGCGTTTAGTTAAATGTTAATGGTACTTGAAGCCCGGTTTACGATTATGTACAAATCGAATGTAAATAATAAATTATTTTGTCTAATGTAAGTGCTAGGTTAATATTAGTTAGCGGTTTTTTCGATGATGGAACCAGCCGGGTGTTGCAACATTCCATTTCGACTAAATTCCCTTATGTTTTGTATTAATTTGAATATAATTTATTTCATTTAGTAGAATTTTCGATTGAAGTGTTGTTTGTGGATTTAAATCGTTTTATGTCGAGTGCATTGTGAGCTGTCGCTTCGTTAGATCTTTTATTTCTGTAAGTTTAATTATCTCTTGGATTTTGACTGTTTTGTACTTAATTTTAGTTTCAAATACATTCCCTAGTGGCTGTGTACAGTCAGATTGAAGGGCATCTCGGCAGTTATTCTTAAGTTAGTTCAAGCTCGAGATGTTGTTTAATCTGGCTGTATAATAATGAAGTAATATACTCTATACTCTACAAGCATTCCTATGAAATTGCTCAACCTTCAGATGTGTCGAGTGACATTGTACTCAAGTATAGTGAAATTAGTCACGGATAAACATACATACTCATAATAAACTTTGTGTGGCTCAGTTGTGTATATAATGTATCGTAGCTAGATTGTTTTACACTACGTAGATGAGTTGTTTGTATTGAACGCATTCCAGGAAATCGTACAAAATAAACTATTCGTGCACTCGAACTTACTTGGTTTTATTTTACCTTTTTATTTAGAAACCTTATCTTACTTTAACTGGAATCTATCCAGATTGTCTAAATTCTAAAGACCTGTGAAACTAAAAGTAGATTAGTCGACAGATAAATTCATAAAAGGTATTAAACACCTGTATTGCGAAAATAACAGTAGATTCATATAAAATTGTATAACATTTTCCATCATGTATACCAGTGATGGCCAACGCGGTCTATCGGTCGACAGCGAAGACGATTTTGGTAGCCCGCGAGAGTTAAATAAACTGAACAGAATGATTGAAAATGAAAATGTTTTATTTCACTCTTCTAAACTGTGCCTTGCAGTCGACCGCAAGAAATATTTTCGAACATAAGTAGACCTCACAGGTCAAAAGTTTGGCTACCCCTGATGTAAACTGAACTGAACAGCTCGAGTCTCAATCTTCATTAGCCTGAAATAGTTTATTAGTTCACTGCATATTGCTGTTACAAACTGCTTAGCTTTAGGGTCAACTTCCTTCTTTTATTAAAAATTCAAATTCTGAGGTTAAGTAGAAATTTCAACTACACAGTATACACCATACTTATTTATTACCTTATTGGCACAATACATTATTATCGTGTAAGAAGGTATATAAAATAGAGAGAAAGAAAAATTGTTATATAAATAGACTTTTAAGATTCAACTCCAAGAGCATAGCCGCAAGAAATAGCTAAATAAAAACCGTATACATTTATACTTATACATTTACAATACTCTTAAACGCATTGAAGGTGACATTGACAAGCAACTGATTCCAACGTTTTTTCTACGTAGCATTGTGTACATGCCACTGAGATTCGACCTATTGATCCCTCGCAAAAACAACAATGACAAGTGTGCACTGGGTTTGGAGTATTATACGAATGCTACTAACTGTCAATAAATACGGTGTTTTTGAAATGAGGTGCAAAGGACGACACCACAATAACATTGTACCTATGTCACTTTCAAAGAAAAACAAAACAAATACACTTGCATCAAACTTGATGATGACGATGTTATACCTACGTACCTACCTGGTGGTACCCACTTACATCTTTGACGGTTAGAAATCTACACGGGCACGAAAATTCGAATGTATGTAAAGGTAAGGTATGACCCAAAACCAAATTAAAAAACACTGTAAAACGTAATTTTATTATAAGACCAAGCACGAAACTAAATTCAAACTCCAGCATAGATTCAAGCCTATATTTACGTCGTGTGCTCAGTTTCTCGTAAAGTTGGTACCTACAAATAAGGACTAACTTTAAAAAAATATTTAAAAATTTAAGATACAAAAACATAGTAAAATCATGAAATCTAAATCAGCATGATTTCATCCCCACCTTGTTAGCAGAGCCTGATACTCCAAGTGAAACTCTACACTACTAAAAACTCAGAACATTTGTAACGTGGTCGCTTTACACATAACCAAGGAGGGGTTAAAATAGTAATAACCTAAACGAATCGCCAACCTATTGCACGGCAGAGTGGGCTAAAAGTGAATTATTATATATTTTCATAGGCCGTACGGAGAGTACCTAATAGGTAATGCAGCCGAGCGGTGCGCCTTGACCCGGCGACACCGCGCATCTTCACGAAGAGGTACATACGCTAGATGTGATACCAATCACCTAAGCACTGAACACATACGAAAAACGAATATTACAGAAAAAATACAGATTGAGAGAATACGTCGTAGACAGTGTAGACAGTGAACACGTACTTATGCCTTGATCACACGTACCGAGTAAACGGGTGAGACAGTAAAATGTTTACTAGGTCGAGACACCTGGGTGAGCGAGTCACATACTCGAGCGCTCCGCCGAGCACTCGGCGTAATGGTCATACACACCGAGTACTCGGCCGAGAGCACTGTCTCGCCCGTTTGCTCGGTACGTGTGATCAAGGCTTTATGCCTTGATCACACGTACCGAGCAAACGGGTGTGAAACGGGCGAGACAGTGCTCTCGGCCGAGATTTTTAGCGAGACAGATACTCGACGAATCACCAGTCCACTCGGTAGGTGTGATCAAGGCTTTAACCTCAAAGTAACCTAATAGTGAAATAAATTGGTACTTAGTTATTTAATTTTTAGCGTTAAGAGTCGCATCTCAAACTAATTTGAAAATTATAAATAACTTGAAAAAATCTAACTGCCTAAGGCGGGAATTGAACCCACGACCTTCCGCTTGCCGGGCGACTGCTCTTCCAACTGAGCTACTTAGACACTGGATGAACCCGTCGAAATTTTCAAGTGTAATTCGTGGGTTCAATTCCCGCCTTAGGCAGTTCGATTTTTTCAAGTTATTTATAATTTTCAAATAAATTGGTACTGTCAAAAGTCGACTTCGCATTCTCATCCACCCCCCTACACAAGTCTTCTCTACACACACACGAAGGACATACCCCAACAGGGACTCGTTCCAACATCGGTGACCCCGTGTTAGGTCGTTTCAACAATAGTGTTATCTTTTAACTTAACCTCAGGTTGTGAGGCGAGGTTAAAAGCTAAACACTATTTTATTAATTAATTCAACTATTAGTAAGAGGAAACAGACTTTGATCGGTAAGCAAGTGTTCTTACACATGCCACTAAGTGCGCAAGCGGTCATAGCACTCAAAAATGCGAATGCAAATTTTTTATAAGTAGAAGTTAGCTCAATAGACAATACATTAAGTTGGTAATGTATATTTTCTTTTTATCTACAACGGGATGCTCTTGGCCTGCATCTCACCTGGAAAGTGGTGATCAGGCTAAAGGTGGAAGCGAGCTTGAGCTGGAATCCTCAATCATAGAAGAACTGGCTAACATACCTCAATTGTTATTATAGCGACACACGACAAACAGGTAAAGTGATGGTAACAAGCCAGACTTTACAACCTATTATGTTGCTTACTATTCCTATAGCTCATTGGTTTTTGGAGATTAAGCTGTGCACTATTCCTTACGAGGTAGAGTTGGGCCATATGGTTTTTACTCGCACGTTTCGTTTTCATAGGCTAAACGCACGACACGACTGCTTGTTATTCTTAAATATCGCGCGGTTCGAAACGCGAGTAAAAACGCGTCATCTGCACATTCTGCACTAGCTCTTGGTACTGGAGAGTAAATGTAGAGTAAGGTTTTTGTTTCAAAATAATCCTCTGCATAAAACTAATACTTCTTACCCCCTTAGTAAGTTGTAGGTTTTTATATCTCCTGTAAGGAAACATGGCATTAGCATTTTAGAAGGAAACCAATAAACTCGCGAAAAAATGCAAATTTCGACCAGGATATGTTTTTCACATCCAGTCTTGCAGTATCCGCGTACGGCAACGTAGCGCTCGAGCTAGTGATGGGATACCGGTTTTTGAAAAAATTAATCGTTTAGATAAGAATAGGTACTTTCAAAAGATCGATATTTTTGTAATTTAAGTGTAATAAATGTCAAGTAGGTGGAAGAGATAGCAAAGAACAGCATAGGTACTGCGCTTAACACGTGTTGGCAAGGTAAGCTAATGGAGCTGAAATTTAAAAATATTCAGGATCAGATTCAGATTATGGACGTTTTTTTTAATATTATTTTATACTTGTATTATAAGGCAAATAAGTTTCATCTTTTAAAATCAAGTAGATCTAGGCGTCATAATCGTTATTCAAACTCAATAGATAGAAACTGAGACAGACTTACCCTCAGTACCAACTTAATATGAACCGCTAAATATCGGTATTTAAAATAATTACCGATACTGTCATCCCTAGTCAACCAGCACTTGTGTAACGGTGGTAAACTCGAATCACAATAACTGCCAAGTTATAGGTCATTTTGGCTGAATACGTAATTAGTATCTATACGAATGTTGCGTACGTGTTATTAATAAAAACAGAATGTTCCACGAACGCAAATATGATAGGTAATTTTAGTATATTGAATACACTATGGCATAAAAGGTTAAAATGTCAGGTTGGGCTAGCGCAGAATAATAATATAATTTTGATGCACACATACTGCGGTTTCAATGAAATGAAATCATTGAATTGCTCACAAATATCAATATAGTTTTCGAAAATATGGTATCTAAGTACAAAGAAACAATATGTCATCATATTCTACCTCCCACATTTTTGGAAACTCGGAAAACATATAGTCAGGCCCTCGAGAGACGTGCACCTTTTATTATACGTATACCTACTGTTATAGAAAAAAAGACATTAATCAATTTTTTCAGCGCATTTCCCATGAAAGTTTCATACATTAAGTCGAGTAGCGGATCAAAAATATTTCATCTTTCGTTTTCTCTAACCGATTACGAAGAAACGAATAGTTTACCCAATCTACACTTGTTTCTGAAACTCTATAAGACTTGAGTGATTATACATAAATTAAATCCACGAACGCTAAACCTATGCATGTTGTATTCAGATATTAGAGTTTCAGAATTCAGATTCTGAAAGTAACAAAAAAAACAAGTCAGTAATTTTATTACATCCACAAGTTGTGGGTGTTGTATGTCCTGACATAGCCTCGACCTCCGTAGTCTAGAGGTAAGCGAATACAATAATAAATATGTAAATCTATTCGTATATAAAAATGAACCGCAAAATGTGTTGGTAAGCGCATAACTCAACAACACCAGGACCAATTTTACCAATTATTTTTTTTAATGTTCCTTGAAGTCCAAGGATGGTTTTCACGGCCAGAAAAGTTCGAATAATTTCCGGGGAAACCCTAAAAAACTCGAAACTTCACCCCTAAGGGGGTAAAACGGGGTCCACGCGTACGAAAATGCGGGCGGCCGCTAGTACCTAATGAATAAATATCTTTGGACATTTTACACTACACTTTTGACTGTGGGATTCCGGACAAAGCCTTCACTACCACAGTCCCTTGCGTCAAACTAATGCCCGAAAAGGAAAACCATTTGGCTACGGAACCCTAAAAAAATATCCAGAAGTCGTCAATCGATTTCTTGTCACTGATTGAGTTATGTCATCTGACTTA